TCAACATGGTGAAACCCCGTCTCTACTAAAACTACAAAAAATCAGCTGGGCATGGTGGCGTGTGCCTGTAATCCCAGCTACTCAGGAGGCTGAGGCAGGAGAATTGCATGAACCCAGGAGGCGGAGGTTGCAGTGAGCCAAGATCGATCACGCCATTGCACTCCAGCCTGGATAACAAGAGCGAAACTCCGTCTCAAAAAAAAATAAATAAATAAATTAAGTTTTTGCTTGTGGGATTTTTCCTTTTGGCCTGAGCAGAGTTAAGAGCCTTCAAACTGGCCGGGTTCGGTGGCTCATGCCTGTAATCCAAGCACTTTGGGAGGCTGAGGTGGGTGGATCACGAGGTCAAGAGTTCAAGACCAGCCTGGCCAAGATGTTGAAACCCCATCTCTACTAAAAATACAAAAATTAGCTGGGCATAGTGGTACGCGCCTGTAATCCCATCTACTCAGGAGGCTGAGGCAAGAGAATCGCTTGAACCTGGGAGGAGGAGGTTGCAGTGAGCCGAGATGGTGCCATTGCACTCCAGCCTGGGTGACAGGGTGAGACTCCGTCTCAAAAAAAAAAAAAAGCCTTCAGACTGATACAATTTCAAAAAGATTCCTGTTTTCTGCCAAAGAATAATACTATGGTCTTACTTCTGACATCATCAGCCTATTGTGAGGTTCTAAATATTGGGATCATTTACATTCTAAATTGAATTAAAATAATAAAAAGGAGCTCACAGCTTTATATTTTGGAATATTAAACATGGATTTACATTTTCCTTAGCCATGAACTCCTTTACTTAAGTTAGATACATTCACTTCAGATATAATTTATTTTGTAATAAAATATGCCCAGTTCTATAAATATATAACAGAAATTCTAATCCATACCTGTTAACAAAGCTGCATGATTTTCTCCACAAAAAATATAACTTATTGTTTTATTCCCAATATTCTCAACGACTTTGGGTTCTGAAGTTTCAAAAAGAAAAGTGCCAAGACCCAGCTGACCAAATTTTCCCAGCCCAAAGGTATACACAGCATTCTCTGAAAGGAAAGGGGCAAATACAAGAGAAGGATTATGGAAGCAGACACTGTTACCATCATATATGGAAAAACTTTGACATTCAACCTTTTATAGTGAAGGTTAAGTACCTCTGAAAAAAAAAACACATATAAGAATACATAATACTGAAGTATAAATCTTTCAATGAAGAAGAGAAAAATGAAAAGGTACATAATTATAAAAATTATGACATGGGTATGATTTTATATACAACCATAAAAAGTAAGTAACAGGTATAACAGGTATGATACAAGGCACGTAAGTCAGGGCACTACGTGAAACGCCCCCATAATTACAAAGTTAGCTCAAAAAGTACCAACTGTCAGGCAGTTGCAGTTGCTCACGTCTGTAATCCCAGCACTTTGGGAGGCCAAGGCAGGAGGATTGCTTGAGGCCAGGAGTTCGAGACTGGCCTCACCAACATGGTGAAATCCCATCTCTACTAAAATTACAAAAATTAGCTGTGCATGGTGGCATGCATCTGTAATCCCAGCTACTCAGGAGGCTGAGGCATAAGAATTGCTTGAACCCAGGAGGCAAAGGTTGCAGTGAGCCAAGATCGCACAACTGCAATCCAACCTGGGTAAAAGAGTGACACTCCATCTCAAAGAATAAAAAAGAAAGTATCAACTGTCATTAAGCTAATTCACTACCTCAGATAAAACAGTGAATAGTGTCTTCTACAGAAAAACTTCCTTTTAAAAGTAGTTTCGGATCACCTAAGGTCAGGAGTTGGAAAAGAGGCTAAGGTCAGGAGTTGGAGAAGGGCCTGGCCAACGTGGTGAAACCCTGTCTCTACTAAAAATACAAAATACAAAAATTAGCTGGGCATGGTGGCGCACACCTATGATCCCAGCTGCTAGGGAGACTGAGGTAGGAGAATCACTTGAACCCAGGACGCAGAGGTTGCAGTGAGCCGAGATCAAGCCACTGCACTCCAACCTGGGCAACAGAGCAAGACTTCATCTTAAAAATAAAATAAAGAAGTCTAATAATCTATTTTATAAAACCTAATTTCAGAGAATTGTCTTGAGAATTGAAACAGACAGTACATATGCTAGATTTATTCACAAGTAAAGCTCCTTTACTAGGAAATGCAACTATAATAAGAGGACAGGGAAAAGCTTTTCTTTATACCGATATTTTGAAGTGATTCCAAAGGACTTCCAATAACTCAGTAAATATTAGGCCATATGTTTTCTAGAAATGGAAAAGTATAAAAACAGGATACATGACCCTGATGAAAGGGTCCTCTAGACGCATCATGCTCCTGGCTGCTGCATTAGGAAGCGCATTGTTGATTCCACTAGTCACTATCTCCTTAGTACATTGAGTTTAGTACATTGAGTTTCTCCTACTGCAGAAGAAAGGGCAAGAGCTTGGTATTCAGGTCAGACCCAAACCTTCATTATTTCCAGCTGTGGCAAGCAGGTGAGTTACGTACATTCTCTGATGTCATAATCCCTATCTAACAGAGTTGCTGACAGGATTAAAAGAGAAAACATTCAGGCAGATTTGAAAACACAATAGGACATTCTGTTGTAAAAAACACTTTTCTAAAAAATATCTAATCAACTCATCTTATTCTAACAATGGAGGTTACAAATGAAAATATAACTGTCTATTGTCATATAGGTTTACATCTTTTTCTAACAAAAATGTCTGCTTCATAAATAAGGCATATAGATATTACCCCTTAAAGAAAAGATGCTGTATCAAGGATATGAAGCCATATTGAGGCAATGGCAAAATGATCCTTATTTTAATATTAAAAACCATCTTAGTCTAATAATCACATGGCATATTTCCAGTTCTAAATGTTCAGCTTAACAGTAGAATGTTGGGTAAATTTAAAAAATTATCTCTCTCTAGCTGACCAGTAATTACTCTCCAATTCTTAGGCTGTTAGATTTTAATTAACCTGTGAAATGAGGCCGTTCAGGCAGCCTGAATCAAGTTACAAACATTTTGTTCAGTATCCTGGTAGGTTCCCATTCAGGTGCTTGGATATTAGTGATGACAGCAGTTTCTATTTCATAAAAATGATCTAAGATGCTCTTATTTAAGGACATTATATTTAATAGCCAATAGAATTGTTGACCCTATCACCTTTGTGAAATCTAATAACATAATTTAATGTTAATTATATTACATTAGGGAAAGATTTGATCAGTGAGCTTCAGATCAATATTACTATAATTTCACAGAATATACTTGATTTCAGAACTAATAATTTGTTAAACTGTAGAAAACTTAAGTTTATCCAAACATAATCTGAGAAGTTAAGATAAATTCTCATTTGCCACAGGACCAAGATATCATTGTGGACCCCATTTTACAACTGGCCTTTCTTGTCTGTTGGTAACTGCTGTGGATGACATACAAAATTACAAATATCACTCTGCCTTACTTAGTGTGTCCCAAGTTCCAGCCTCAGACTTTTTTCCACAGTTGTCCATGGTTTCCCTGATCTCAAGGAGAAACTACAATCATCCCATCACCACAACCAGTTGTATTTTCTAACCTATCATGGTCATGTGCAAATATTGTATTTTAAATAAATTCATCAGAAATGAACTAAATTGCTTTTAAAGTAGTTTAATGAAAGATCCTCAAATAGATTTTAAGAGGTATATACCCAAAGAACTATAAAGCGTTCTACTATAAAGACACATGCACATGTATGTTCATTGCAGCCCTGTGTACAACAGCAAAGACCTGGAACCAACCCAAATGCCCATCAATGATAGGCTGGACAAAGAAAATGTGGTACGTACATATACACCATGGAATACTACACAGCCATAAAAAACAACGAGTTCGTGTCCTTTGTAGGGACTTGGATGAATCTGGAAACCATCATTCTCAGCAAACTGACACAAGAACAGAAAACCAAACACCGCATGTTCTCTCATAGGTGGGTATTGAACAACAAGAACACATGGACTCAGGGAGAGGAACATTACACACTGGGGCAGTTGGGGGGGTAGGGGAGAGACAGTGGGGGTTGGGGAGGGATAACATGGGGAGAAATGCCAGATACAGTATGCACCTAAAGTAAAATTTAAAAAAAAAAAAAAAAAAAAGGGTTATAGACATATAGAAAAACAAAGCTGGGAGGTCCTTCTATAGAATCATCTATTCCATGTCCTTTCCTTTAATGAAATAAATTTGAACAGGTGATTTGGTATTCTTTCCTTAAGGTCTTACAAAATATTTCATAACTCTCTTAACAATCCAGTTTTGTATTTAATCATACTGATGATCAATATACTCTTCAGGTCCATTTATTCATCAGCTAGGACTAAATATTTTTAAAATTCTGCCTATACTGTGTTCCAGAACCAGGTTCCTCACCAGGGCTGGCTCATAATAAAGCTCTCACACGTCCATGGAAAAATGTGAAAAACAGGTAAAGTAGTGAAATTTCCATACAGATACATTTATACAGTTTAAGGAGGCGTCCTTTATTATATAATTAAGAGCTTTTTATTTTGAAAATTTTCCTTATTTTATGACATGATAGTGCAAACTGTCATTTTTTTCAATGCCCATATTTAGGCAAATGCAAATCAGAAGCTGGCAACCATCTATTGGTTCTCATAACTTTTTAAACTCAAATTTTAGATTATTCTCTGGGTTGTAATACAAGCTCTTCACTGTTTACAAAGTCATTTGTGAACTGTAAAAATGATCTCTTCGTGTTTTTTTCCCTGTATTACAAAGTTTTTCTCCTGTATTCCCCCATTCAATGTTGGCTGACACAATCAGACAGGAAATGCAAGGACACTTTTTTTCTTGCATCTGTAATAGAAATCTTAGTGGCAAACAATAACTGTTCCAGGTCTATCAAATAGATGCATCTCATAATTTTAAAAACTTTACTGGTCTGTGAGATCTCAAAGCTTGCAAAAATCTGGAGAAAGCAATAAATTTCTGGAAACATCATGTTTAAGGTTAGAACAAAGTCCACAGAAAGTTAGCTGTCTTTAAAACGACAAGAAAATATCATCCTTAAGTACATTGCTTATTTTAAATTAAAAATTTAAAATTGGGCTGGGCGCGGTGGCTCACGCCTGTAATCCCAGCACTTTGAGAGGCCGAGGCGGGTGGATCACGAGGTCAAGAGATCGAGACCATCCTGGTCAACATGGTGAAACCCCGTCTCTACTAAAATACAAAAAATTAGCTGGGCATGGTGGCGCGTGCCTGTAATCCCAGCTACTCAGGAGGCTGAGGCAGGAGAATTGCCTGAACCCAGGAGGCGGAGGTTGCGGTGAGCCGAGATCGCGCCATTGCACTCCAGCCTGGGTAGCAAGAAGGAAACTCCGTCTCAAAAAAAAAAAGAATTTAAAATTAAGAATTAAGCTTTCATTAAAAGTATCATAGATTATCTTGTTGCTCACTTTATATGAAAATATTTTATAATGAATGAAGACATTACATAATCAACATTTGCATCCTTCAAAATAACATTGAATGACCTACTAAATTAATCCTTTCTATAATTTTTGTATAAACTAGAGAAAATATATAACACATAAAGAATATGTTGCATTTCTGTCTATAGAATGAATTTTCAGATACGTAAAAATTTCAAAGTTTAATTTTTAGAATATTTTTGAAATTATATAAAAATTCACTTTTTCAGCAGGAATTCAAAAAAAATCATAAACCTCAGAATCATTTCCAAATTTAGAGTAGAAGTTTTGACAAAAAATTATTTCTAACTTAGAAAAGATTCCTCCTCGAAACTAAAGCTAAGCAGGACTGGGGCTAGAACAGGAAATTGAGGAAAAGTAACACCAGAGAAAAATATATAAACATAAAATATTATTCACTTACCTGGCAACATTGGGCATATCATCTTAGAATTGGGTATTATTCAAAATTTGTCTACAACATTTCTAACTTTGGGCTACTAAAGATTAAGTGGTGACTTCACAACTTGTTAATTTCTTTTTGTACAAAAAATATCATAATAATAAACTATTTAATTGTATTATGTACATTACTCATCTAAAATGCATCTAATACTGAAAAAATTTGGAAGCATCAATTTAGTAAACATATTAGCAAGTAGTGAGTATATTTCAATACAGTGATTAGAATCCTGAGAAATGACATGTCAAAACAAATATGAAATTCAGATCCCAAAAGTAACATTACTACTGAGGTCCTAACTTTCTTTTATTATCTGTAATTTAAAACTTTACCACTTTTAAATGCATTACTATAACAGAACATACAACTTTAAAGAAATCTCCAAGTTATACATTGTAAATATCACAAAGAAAATTATCAATGACATGTAGAAAACAGCATGAAAAAAAAAGCTTCTCCAAAAGAAGGCAGTTCAGGAAAAATGTCAATTTTAGATAAATATGGAATATATATACATGAGAAAAATTGTCCTTGAAAATGATCTAAAAATAATGTCATATGCTGTCATTAAAAATGTTACAGTCAGGCCAGGAGTGGTGGCTCACGCCTGTAATCTCAGCACTTTCGGAGGCCAATGCCAATCACCTGAGGTCAGGAGTTTGAAATCAGCCTTGATGGCCAGGCGCGGTGGCTCAAGCCTATAATCCCAGCACTTTGGGAGGCCGAGGCGGGTGGATCACGAGGTCAAGAGATTGAGACCATCCTGGTCAACATGGTAAAACTCCGTCTCTACTAAAAATACAAAAAATTAGC